TGTAAATCTTCACGTCTTTTAAGCAACTTATCTTTTGTAACCTAAGTACAATAACCAAAAGGAGATATCCCCAAGTTAAAAGGAATAATATATGTGCATGTGCCAATGCATGTGCATATATACATACTATAGATGCATGTGTATGCACGCGCGTGTAAATATATCAATTTAATAAAAAAAACTTACAGGTATTGTGGACATTACTGATTTCTTTTGAACAAATTCAATCCATGAACTTAGCTGTTTATTTAAACCTAAATCTTTCAGATTCAATTTAACATCAGGACCAACCCAATTTCTTCTTGGTGATCCGTGACTATTGCATTTTGAATTAGGGCTATCGGTATCAGAATCTGAAATTATAGTATTTTTTTCTTGTTTATTAGATATTATATTACGTTTTTTAGAAGTCACAGTCCATAGATGTTTATTTTCTGTGTTTTTAGGCATTATGTCATTGACCTCGTTAAATTTTTCTTTGTTTTCTTCTAATGATGTACCGATAGAAGACAAATATTCATTACTGTAATAATTAGTTTGTGGAACAATAGCTTGTTTCCTTTCATCTTTTTCTACTAATACTTCATTTAAATATTCTATTTTATTTAGATGTAAGTATTTTTTAACATATTTCTTATCTTCTTCACTTTCAGAAGACTCAGAAATTTTTACACAGTCACTACTCTTTTGTGATAAATTTAAAAGATCGGATCTTTTTTCAGATATTTCTTTTCTCTCTATTGAATCTTTAACATGTGACCCCATTTTATAACAAAGTGTCTCTGGATGTGTCTTAAGTGGATTCTCCCATGTATCTGAACTATCTGAATTATCCTGTGATTTAAAATATTGTAATAATTATTAGTTATTTTGTAATAAACTATAAGTGTTTTATATATAACTTATATATTGACTAGAAATAATACATTACTGTTTTTTTTATCAAATACTATTATAATCTTACAAGATTTATGATTGCATCTATTGTTAACAAGTCTCCAGCTATTCTTTTTTGTTTATTAAAACATGAGTTATTTGATAATTCATTATTTAAATCAGCTTTCTCATATGTCACTGATTTTGGTATACTAAAAAATATAATTATTAGTTAAAATATTTGAAAAAATATTAATAAAATACAAGATGGTAGTATACAAAAATTCATATATATCAAGATTCATATATCTTGGAATACTCTTGCAAAGTTAGATAAATTTTTCTTACCTAGTCTGCAGATTGTTTTGATTTGTTTTCATAAAAAATCCCACTATTGTAGATTGATTATTCTTTTGATCAAGCATCATTTTTTTTGGCATCATTATATAAGTTTAGATAACTGTAAACAATTTGCAAAGCGTCTTTATTTGAATACGTCATTATTAAAACTAGTCCTTCGCGCATATGTAAATACATAAGTTTTATTTCTTAAATAGCTCAGCAAATATATTACACATACAGAATTGATATAATACACATATCATGCAGTATATAATCACATGACATAAAGGTTAGAAAAAAAAGTACTACATTTATATGTTTACATTTAATAACAATTTAAAATGCCAGCTCTAACAAACAAAAGAAGAACAATTCAAAATCCGAAAAATGCTAAACGACAATGACAGAATGAGTAGCATCGATTTACACAATGGAGATTGATGCGCCCGCCATTAAATTAAGGCTGGATGCAGACACGACGCGGCAACGCGGTAGCCAATCACCGTATTGTTTTCTGATATATAACTTTGTTACATATTAGAAAACAAAATGGTGATTGGCTACCGCGTTGCCGCTTTGCCGTGTCCTATGTGCAACCGGCCTAAGAGTCGGTCGGAGACAGCGTGGAGCATATACTGCGTTTACACGGCGACGTTAAACCGATTTAGTAACAACCATAGTTAGTAATTTCTTGTATTTAATTGGA